ACACACACACACACACACACACAGGGAATGTTTGCGTTTTTCCTCTCACTGCCTCTTTCTCCGTCTTTGCGTCCCCTGTGGTGACTGACGTGCTCATTCATTCAGTCCGGCACATAACTTGAGCACCATGGTTACAGCTGCAGAGATGTTCTTTTCCCTTCCCGGGGGACAATATTGAAATAACATCTCCCCTACCAACACAACCAACCATGGTCTTGACATCTCGCCAGTTGTGTTCAGATCTGTCTGGTCCTATGTAAAGAAAAGTATTGAAGTTGGCTGCATAGCAAAAATCCTTGCAGGTGTGCAAGGTTTGCCAGCTTCTGACCCTGAGTCTGGCCAGGACCTACTGGCCAAGAGCCCTGTGGGTCAAGGACCTGGAGCCATGGCAACTTACTGGCACAAAATCAGCTTCAACAGCAGCAAAATTAGCTTGTCTGGCGATGGACTATATAGCATTAGCTCCTCTGGGTCTGGCATCACACCTCAACATTACCTGGAGTTTAGAACAATGAACTTCACTTCTGATGCAAACCAAAATGGAGTCATACAGAGTCATTACTACGGCAGCAGTGGGGCTCCTGGATTTGAGAAGTCTTGTGTTAAAATATAAGCTTAAGAAAGCCTCGAAGTCATATGTTTACAGAACTGAAATGGTCACAGGTTTGATCAAGGCACTCTTATGTGCCTCTGGCAGGGTGACAGCACGGTGTTGGATACAGCTGAAGAATATGCTGGATGAAACATGTCAAAACAAATATATAAGATCTGACTCCTGCTATACAACAGGAAGAAAGGCACAGAGATCAGGCCCTGGCAGAGAGATAAGAGGAGGATGCAGTAGACAAAAAACAGGATGATGACAGAGTTATGTGTGCCGTTAGCTCATCAGTTGTCTCCTTGCATTATGAAACAAAAGCAGATTAAAGTGAAAAGGAGCCCACAAGACTTGTTAGCAAACACAATGACCTCAGAGAGAAGGAGAGAGAGTCACAAGGTTGAGCCTAGAGCTTGGTTGTGATTATCCCAACGTAAAGGTTACATGGAGTTTAAACATGCAATGTGCCCAATATGGGCATATATGATTGCGAAAACACTGCTTAATTGCAGGAATTGCGACTTAAAAATTTTGACATGGGGCTCAATCAGTTGTGCAGCTGTATCGGTCTTAAGCTGCTCTACAAATCATCTGGGGCTGGATGCTGACGTTCTCCCTGCAGTATTTTCCAAAGCACTAGTCAGGTTTCTTGGCAATTAGGATCACAGGCATGGATCAGTCTGGTTTAGTTTGAAGGTATGTTGATGTTGTAATCACATCAGCTGAAACCTCTGTCTTATTGGGTGCAATGTAGAACTATGTGAATTGCAATACAATACAGTTTTTTCTTTCAAATGCACCTCTGGTTCCTGTAAGAGAGCTTAGCACTGACTGACAGGTCGGTCTTGATTGCCAGGCCAGTCAGAAGTGGCGTGAGATTGTAGAGGGTGGGAGCAGGGAGATTAACCCCTGGTGTCTAGGACAGCTGTGGAGGTTTTGGGCTGGCTAGCGGCTGCACGCTATAAATTCTCTCTAAAGAGGGTTTACTTTCGATTTTAATGGGTGCTATAAATTTTCTGCAACCTGGTCCTGGTGAAAGAGAAAGGAGGCTTATTTTTAAAGGGCCTCTTTCTCTTTCAATCTCTTCAGCTCTACCTTTCTTCCCTGTTCTTTCTTTCCTTCAGGAAAAAGTCAATGGCTCCTTGCCATGCATTTTGTGGTCTGCTTTTACCTGTAGTCAGCTTGTATGAAAAGCGTATGAAAATTTCCTGAAAGAAATGAAAACCCTGCAAAAGAATAAGTATTCTGCAGCAGACACTGAGTATAATAGCTTCATTGTATATTAAGGTCAATATATTTTTTAAAGAGGAACACTGGCTACGCCTGCACAATTTCTACACCTTTGTGGCAAATTCCTCTTGGGTGCACAGCAGAGGAAACTGAGTTTGTGGATGCAGAAAGTAACAGCGCCCTTCGTATGTTTCCATGTCTCTACCTGTAGGTGCTGTTTGCCTTGAACCAGACGCTGCTGCAGCACGAGGGTGTTCGAGCGGGCAGCCTCCAAGGTTCCTACACCACAGAGGACCTCATTACACACTACAACTGTGGTGACCTCAGCGCTATCATCTTAAACCATGACACCTCACAGGTTGATTCATTTAAGGACTGCTCACCCCTTGTAAAAAATATCATCACTTGTGGTTCACTTTTTAGGACTGATTTCAATAGCTTTGTGTCAAAATTCTTCAAAACCAGTTAAAACAAGTTTTTTGTGGCAAAAAGAAACAACATAAAGACTCTAAAATAAATTGCCTGCCTAATATAATACAATGGATCTAATACCGTTAATCCACTTTGTCAAACCTTACAAAGTTTTACAACATTTCTCACATATTTCCAAATTCCAAAGTTTTGCATGGTCAGACAGCAACATACTGGTAAAGTTGGAATGTTTGGCTACAGTGAAAAAGTTGGATAATAAGTTACTTTCATGCTGGTATCACATTGCCAATGTTAGGATTGTTACTGAATAAAGTAAGATATTACACATTACAAGTTACTTTTCTACATTACATAGTCACTTACTGGACAGAATAACTAATTTCATTACTTTTGCATTACTAAGTAAAATGACCTAAAATGTACTGTCACATAATCCGTCGTTTTTTAATTTCTCTCAGCCAGTTTTAGGCAAACTAAGAGCTAGCTGTTTTGAAGATTCTGCACTGATCTCAACTCACTTGCATACTCAGTGCAGTACAGTTTACCAGATTAATCACACCTGTGCATGTAACATCATCCTCTGCACACTATATTTAAGCTGCAGACCTACACATTCATTCTTTTTCTACCGAGAGAACTGAAAAGAATGGGAACCTGCATTCGCTGCCAAACAATGATGAATGGTTCCAGGTTTGCTTCCAGGGATAAAAACATGTTAAACTATAAGAATATGTGTTTTTGGTCATGTCACTGATTTTTTCTTTCTTTCTTTTTTAATAGTGACCTAAGGTATCATGCAAGTGAGACTTGCTTTGATACCCTGCTGTAAACTTTTAACCATCAAAGACAACTTTCTTAAATTCATTTGCAGAAACTACCAAAATATTTATTTATTAACTTTGCAATTTTTTAAAGCAGAAAAAAGGCGAACCTTTGAACTTCTAAGTTAGCTATGTTTTGCTGGAAAAGGGAATCGTCTACTTCTCGTTCCTGATTCACTAAAAATCCTCACAGAAAATACTAGCTAGTGGTAGCAAAACATCTGTAACAGTGTTCAGAACTTGAATCTGTCAGATCCTCGATTTGAGTTGGCAAACTTCTCATACCCACTTCTGTGCCATTACACTATCGTCACCTCGAACTTTTGGGCTTACACATCAATTCCACAAATCTGCACATTGCCATATTAATCCTTCTCAGCCTCAAGTTACTTGATAGTCTGACACTTTAATAGCTCTGGACTCCACTGTAAATACACCATCTAACCTCCTCCAACTTATTTCCTAACATAGCCTTTGCTCCTTTGGTGATGGTCTCTTAATCAGTCTTCATACCCAGCTGTCAAGAGTCCATTCGGCATTAAGTACACGCACACACACACACATACGCACACATACCTACAAATACATGTGGTAGGCACAACATGTAGTGGCTCTCAATCCATCTCTGCCTTTTAAATGCAGATTTGCTCAAACGCTCTCCTCATAAGTCAATTATGCTGTGTCAACCTCCCTCACTGATCCTTAAGTCCCATTAAACCCAAAAGACCATGTAACCTCAACTCACTGCTCGAGTTCCACATCATATCCACTAGAGACACACACTATATGAAAAAACTTACTGTACACACAAACTCACGATGCCTTTACAATTCAGCTCTGACAAATGACATGTGATTGCTTTTTTTTCTCCGTGTTTCTATGCCTGTCTCTCTCATTGTCTGCTTTTATACACCTTTTTCTTCCTGTGAGCCATGAAGGGCTGTTAGCCACTATTTCACCTGCAGTTTAACTCATACCAGTTTGCCCCTGCTCTTCATGTCATAATAACATGTATTAACATTCCTCAACATATGCTACAGCAATCAGATGCCTGACTTCAGAGCCCACTTCTGTAGCCTAATGATCTATTGCAGGTTTGTGTGTCTGTGTGAATGTGAGCTTCCAGAGCTGTAAAAGGACAGGTGTTTTTTGATAGATAGGACTTAATCCAGTGGCCCCCGCTCCGACACCCCTGATGCTCTTTCAGTTCAATCTTCTTCAAATAAGAAAGAGGCCGATGGCAGGCCAGAGACCACAAGTGAGTGGAACGGTGTAAATGAGGTTAATGTGTTTCAGCATTCAACCGGTCCCAAATTCATCAGAAAAACAGAGTACAAGTGAGACAGAAGAAAAACTGAAATGCAAAAGAAGTAAGATGAATGCATTCATTTAAGTAAACACATTAAAAAATGAAGAAAACAAAAGACATAGGCAAAAGTTACCTGGAGATGTAAACCATCAAAATGTAGACTGATGTGCCAAGATGAAAAATTATGTCTCAAAGGTTTAGTTTTCCACATCTGTTATGTTTCTGCATAATTTATATGGTAATATATGACTGAAAATGTTCTTAAATGCTGTATTACTCTGGGTTGTCCCTACAAGTTGTTATCACTTCAGTGCCACGATATCATCAGAGCTACAAAAAAAAGAAAGAAAGAGCAGAAGAGAAAGGGGATTTCAAACAGCTGAATCCGAAGGGAAAGGAAAAAATAGAAGTAAACGGCTGGCAGGATATGTACGAGAACATGAGTGCAGAGCAGTACCAGTGGTGGGGAAGGGAGAAAATATCTTGTTGTCACTATGTGTTTCCTGTGGACGTTGGGATGGAGAGCAGCTAATGGCTTTTCATGTGATAACTTATCTGCGTTTACCGTTACACTCCTACCTTGACCCCTCTTTGACCGAACCCTTTTTTTCCTTGTCTTGAAACACTCACACGATCCTCTCTCATCAGCCATGAAGTCTTTCTGCACCTTTTTCTTCAGCTCTCTCTTTAAACTTTTTCATAACTTTCTTCCAAGTTTGCATTATTTTATTTATGAATCGTATAGAGCTGTCAATCTGGGTAAACCTGCGTCATTCACCCTGATAAAACACAGATAAAAAAGGCCTTGGGCTACAGATAATTGTGTAAATGCGCTTTTGTTTCTTTCTGCCTTTTTGTTCTACTGCTGGGTTATAACAAAAAGCACGTATTTTAATTCAGTGGCATACAAACCGTTCAAATTTAATCAGACCCTGAATTTGAGGGAAAGGTTCTTTTCTTGATCTTTTATTCTAAAACTGTTTTCACACATAAACCTTTCATAGTTTCTGAAGAATGAGGCAAAGATATTTTCCAAAGCTGTCCTTTGTCACATGTAGCAAATACGAAGGAATAGTCCACTGCGCTGCGGCATATATACTGTGTGATTTAGCTAAGGTAGCTGGCTGGATAGATGTATTCATGTATGAGGCAGTGCATATGACACCAATTAACCAGCAGTAAATGAAGTATTGATATGATCTGCTTGGTTTATACATCAGTTCAGGCCAACATTGTACAAACTCTGTAGAAGTGTTCTGGCTGGTTGAAAACAACACATGTATGACTTGACTGCGTGAGACATTTGAGTTCTCACATGTGGCTCCGTCTTGCGAGACCTAGAAAAGATCAGGGCTTCAGAACATGTGTGGAAATGGCTCAGGTTTATGGACAGCACTTAAGTAAAACTTCCTTTTAGCACCTGGCCTTTATTTTTTACTAATAATACAATATAACAGTACATAAAGAGATATCGCCACTGGAAGTGGTAGCACATGATGACGTTTATCACATTTGTAAAATATATTTACAAAAATCTCCATAACTTCCAGAAGGTTAATGAAGCAGTGAAGATTTGTTTGTGGATATAATAATAGTATGAGACATTTATAGAAAAGCAGAGTAATATATATTCCAACTGTAGACTATGGAAAAAATGACAAACCTCTAAATCCTGGCATGAGAAAATGTTTACTAATGGAAATGTATATTTGTGTAACAAACAAATGAAATTTATCCAGTGTTCTGTTGTAAATTAAGATAACTGAAGTATGAATCAAAACAGACTGAGACGGTGTGACTGAAAGGAAGCATCGTATAGATTTTGGATGGATTCTGAAGTGCACCTCGTTCACATGTGGTACAATAAATCCCCTCATGTTTTCAGGCCTGACACACACACATACACATGCTAATTTACGCACCATTTGCAGCTGTTCTACTGTTGTGTAAACTTGTAGCTCAGTTCTAGACAGCAATAGCATGCTTGCATGAGTGTTCCTTGTCACAGTTAAATACAAATCCAGATTAAACACATCTGCATATGTGTAGAGAGAGTATGAAAACCAACCTCTTTGTTTCTACGTTCCCACCATTATTTAAATCTGTCCTACTTTAAAGTAAGATTGGGCTATATACAATGACTTTGTACAGAACAGACTGGAAGATATAATAACAAACTGTTAGGTAATGATTAGTTTATATTAATGTGACTGCATAGTAATCACTTTCTTAAGTAATTAAATCAGCCGCTGAGTGGAACAAACTGCTAACAACTTTACTAACTAAATAAGATCTTCATCACTTGATGTTTCTCTGTTGCTTACACTGCGTCCTCTGTAAGTAAAGAAGAGCTTTGAATGAATGCCTTATAATTAGACCCTTAGTAAATAACCAGCCAAGGAGAAAAGCCTTTCCATGGAATTCCAATTTTCTTGTTATGGCAGATTTTTATTTACCTTGGAATGTAATGAGAGATATTGGGAAAAAATCTAGCTCAATAAGAAAATAGTGCTTACATTTACAAAAATATCTTTATTACTGTCAGTGTGTGTGATAGATCTGTAGAGGGAATCAATCTAAAAGTATGTATTCAAGTCATATAAGGAGGGCGAGATACAGAGAGATACATTTTCTATCCTGGGGTTTAAGGAACTGGACATCTCAAATCCTGAGTCCACCGCCAACCCCCCCACTCATCTTCACAGATTAACGACTGATGGAGGAAAAAGTGGAAAAGAGCCAGGTCTCTCTGTCTGTCTGGCTCCTAATGTATCAAACAGTAATTAAACACATTTACACTTCACAATATATTGAACTGAGGCATACACACTTGTAGTGTCTTTCATGTAGCGCACATACCACACCTATAAACACATTTGTGTAAACAGTTTTCGTCATACATGCACACACACACACACACACACAGAAATGTTAAACCTATATACACACACAGATGGCGCTGACACTTCTCCTTCCAACTCCTTCATTTGTTAATGCTTTCTCATGTAAAGATCAGTCTACAGCGCAGGGCGTTGCGCTGGTCAGTTTCTGTCAAGCTGTCACATCAGAAACACTTCTGGCTGCCAGGTGTCACACTCACATGGGCACCAACACCACCATTCAGCCCTCTTCTTTCTTTCCATCCCACTTTTTTTTAACGCTCTTTCTTTCTTTTTATGTTTTATTTAAAATTTGAGTGATTCATTTACTATTAATTCTGCCATGGATTTTTACCACAAAGGCTTTGAAAGTCCTTTTTCTCACGGTCTTTTTCTTTCTTTCAGCTGCCTCACTTCATCAACAGCTCTTTGCCAGCTCATGACCGCATGACGGCTCAGCAGATTGACAGCTACTTCCGCCAGGAGCTGATCTACAAACGCAACGAGCGAATGGCACGACGAGTTTCTGCCCTGCTGCAGAGAAATCCCAACCAGACTTACTTTTTTGCTTTCGGTGCAGGTAAGACTCTTAGACAGATTGGATTTGTAGGATAGTATTGGTTTAACGCTGCAGAAATAACTTTAATGTTATAGGAACTCACGCTATGACCTTTGACCTGCTGGTTACGAGATTCTTCTCTATTCTACATGTTGAGAGCAACTCTAGGGAGTATGCATTTGCATGTAACTGAAAAATGGAATAGATCAGGTTTACTTTGGTCTGGAACAGAGAATCTGTCAGTTTTAAAGTGTGCTTACAGTGCAACAAATTTGCTCTCTTTTCTGCTTGAAAGCAAAACTGGAGAAAAAAAAGCAGGACAATAATAGTGTACAATAGTTCCCAGATCTCTGGCATTCAAAAACTGTGAATCTGTCCAAGTGTACACACACGTGCACACACATACACAGAAGTCTCAATTACAGCCAACTCCCATCTCAGAAATGAAGAAACTGTGAGTTGTTTGTTTCAATTAGCATTCCTGGCTAATGCTGGTAATGTTTCCTGAATAGTGTAGTGTGTCCTAAGGAAAATGTGTGTGTGTGTGTGTGTGTGTGTGTACGTTTGAGAATATACAAACACATGTGTTTGCCCACAAAAACAGGTGGTGGGTGGGTATCTTTGTTTACTGTATGGCTGTGTGCCTGCGTGCATTTGAAAAAGGGTGGTGCTACCTCTAGGATGTGTGTATGTGCATGCATGCGAGTGTGTGTGCGCCACAGTGAATGATTAATACTGAATGCCTAGCTCCTTTTTTTGTTACTCCCTCTGCTCTTTGTGCAGTTTGGACAGGGCCACTGTTGCACCATCCAGCTGCTATTTGTGTGTCCGTGCAGATGTGGCTGAACACTGTTAGTATTTGTGCTCAGACTCTGTGGAGAAAGGAATTTCTGTAATATTACTAAATAATAAATGGTGTACATACATGAAGAAAAAATATATATCAGTGGCATGTGGCGACTTTTACAAAAAGACAAGCAAAGATACTGCATTTTATTCTCCCATTAGTCATCCATTAAAGAAAACGTGTTTATCCACAATGTGAGTGTACAAATAACCAGAAGAAGCTGCTGATCTCTCATCTCGCCCAATTCAAGCTACTGTTAATGGGGAACACCCATAAAATCGAGATGCCCAACAGATTCTAGTGGAATTGGAGGCAAGCGGAGGAAAGATGAGACAAATTGCTACCACAAGATGGCAGTAATTTAAAGGGTGGATGCAAAAGAGCAATGACAGACACTTATGGTGTCTATATTTAATTGTAGATTTCACTGGGCAAGCAATGCCCACCTGCCTTGCCCCGACAGAACACGACTGGTATATAGAGCAGTCTGTCATATCATTAAAAGCCATCTGCCTAACATTGTGCAGATCCCTTTGTGGTGCTAAAACAGCTTTGAAGCCTCAGGGCATGGACCAGGGAATTCTGAAGGCTGTCCTGTGGTGTCTGGCACAGGATGTTGGCAATGCATCTTTTTGGTTGTGGATTGGAGTTTTCATGGAAATGTAGGGGTCAATCTCTGGGCTCTTCTTCTTGTTTCTTTAGCTATTTCTGAGCCGTTTGGGAGGTGTTACATGTTAAAGTAGATCTAAGTTTCTCAGCAGATCATTGCGTTATAAAGAGATGTCATTCACTTTACCTGTCACAGTTTGTAGTGTTGTGTATAGAAAACATTGAAAAAGAGTGAGAGAATGTGAAAACTATTTTCCAACGTTTGAATGAACTTCTGCCAAGGTACATATTTCTCAATTCACCGTCTAAAATGAGTGTTTTTCACAAAGGAATTCCTTGACGTGAGTTTGTATACAGTAACTAAATGAGCAGAGGGGCAGTGCTGAGAAAATGATGGTGCTCAGTAAAGAAGCCATCTGTAACTAAATATGTCAGCATGTGTGGCTGAGTGTCAGACTAAGCCAGCTTACATTAAACAGACTACCAGCAGTTCATAGCAACAATTCTGAATAAGAGTAAAACACTGGTTTGCAGCACATAAAACTGAAATTATTCATCTCTCACTGCTTTAATGCTATATAATAATGCTATTTATTACATATATATATATCTTTTCCAGGATGTTGAGGAAAATCTGGGTCTTAAATTATCTCGGACAGTTAAAGCCACGATTGTGAATTTGCATTTTTGGTCTATTAAGTCAATTAAAATTAATTTTTAATGCAGCTTTATGTTCAAGATTAGTCTCTATTAAACATTTTGTGTTAACGTTCCAGTGTGTTCCGCGTGGCCTGGATAGATATGAGGTGAACATGTGTTTCAGGTCACCTGCACGCTTTAGCCTAGTGTGTAACAAAGTGACAGCAGGTGTGAAGTGATAGGAACCATTACAGTTAGACTGCAGGGTCCACACACACACACACACACACACACACACACACACACACACACACACACACACACACACACACACACACACACACACATTCCACAAACATGCATACACTAAGATTCATACTGGTTAGTGGACTTTATAACATGTACAAATAAGCACATTCACTCACACATACAATAAACACAGAAGTCTCAGTCAAGGCTTTGGGAAAAAAAACAGGTATCAGTCAGTGAAGAGCATGTATATGTGAAAAAGCAGAGGAAATTCCTGCTGTATGTTACATCAATTTGCTGTTCACAATCTGTATGTAATTAGTGTTTGATTTATTATAGCAGCAGCTAATTATGTGCTCGTACTAGAGATCCTTTCTTCAAAAACAGTCACACTAAATTGGAAATACTGAGTAATTACAGTATGGAATTTTACAGGACTGTTCTATTACACACTATTACAGAATACTTTTGATCAATTATTACTAACTTTTAGAGAAATTTGTCAAGCTGTGTGCAGGCAGGCAGGGAGGAAGGACCCAAAATGCAGGACTCGGAGGCAGATGTAAACTCAAAACATGCAGCTTTATTGCTGGGCAGAAAAGGAACATAAACTTGACTAAACTAAGAATACAGAAATAAACTAAGCAGACAGGCAGGCTAGCAGACGGAACACACAGTTAACTTGAGGGTAGAAGACGTTAACGACGCGACACCGAGTAGGGGAAGACACAGACACTAAACACAAGAGGTGAACGGAGCGAAGAGGAAACAGCTGGGAGACACGGCGCTGATTACACTGACGAGACAGGGAGAGCACAAAGCTAAACGCACTGACATAGGACTCAGACCTACAAAATAAAACAGGAAGCACACGACAGACAGAGACACAGACGCAGACTCACAAGCGGGCATAAAGACATCATGGACAGACAGGGGGGACATGGACAGGCAGAGAACAGAAACCTAACCAAAATGGCGAATGATAATGAAATACCTAATCAGAATAACAAAAGCATAAAGAGACACAAAACACTGAGTCAACAGGCTCAGGACCACGACAAGCACAATGGAAGCCATAAAACATAGATGCTATTTGAAACTTAGATAAATATAGTATGTGTAAATGAAGGGGAGTTCAAAAGGCCACAAAGTTATACAATACTGTTCAATAATCTTAAGCCACCCCCACTTTTTTGATATTTTGTTTCCAAGGGACCAGACTTTTTGGATTTTCTCCAGGTAATAGCTCTCCAGGCTTTATAAAGGTACTTAAAGGATTTTCTTTGCTTTTTCACTGATTTCCAATTCAGTCCTTGTACCTGACCTTTTCAGATCAGTGTTTCTTGGTTTGTTTGTTTTTTTTATGTTGGGCCTTAAAATTATCTACAGCAGATGGACAACTACAGTAATGATACAGTAGAAGAAAAAATCCAGCAGATGCATCTCTGAGGACCTGACAGATGAATCTGACCCTTCAGATGATGTATCTATTGGTCACTGAGGTCTCAGTGGAAGGGTCGCTGTCAACAAGCCATCATCAACATGTGCTGGGGAGATCAGGAGAAAGGAACTACACTCTATAAAACACAGCGGAGGCTCTGTCATTGTTTGGGGCTGAATTTCAGCCAATGGTTTTGGAGATCTTGTCAAAATTGGTGGAATTATGAATGCAGAAAAGTATCCTCAAATTTGGATTCACTGTGCATTAACATTTGGCAAGTGCCGGACTGGCAGTAGCTTTATTTTCCAGTATGACAATGATCCCACACACACTGCCAGTGCAGTAAAAGCATACTTGGGCAGAAAAACACACAATGGAAGACTATCAGTTATGAACTGGCCTCCCCAGAGCCTGGACCTTAACATTATTGAAGCAGGGTGGGATCATCTTGACAGAGAACAGAACAAAAGGCAGCCAATATCAAAAGAAGAGCTTTGAATGTCCTTTAAGAATCCCAGTGAACTATTCCTGAAGACTACTACAGAAATCCTATAGTTAAAGAATGAAGGTGGTCATACTAAATGTTGACTTTAAAGCTCATTAAAACTGTACAAACTTTGTACATGGGCAAACATACGTGTTGGCATATGTTTCCATAAACTGTTAGACCTATTTCCAATTTTCCTAGAAAAATATAAAGAAACAAGGGATGGCTCAAAACTTTTACGTAGTATTGAGTTTCAAAGAACGTTATGAAGATGAAATATTTTCCACCGAAATATTTCAATAATATCACCACACAAATCTTTACTCTTAGAGTGACAGGCCATAAATACTGCAACTAGTGACCACAACTAATAGGACTTAAGTTCTGTTTTCAGGCAACAAACCACCTTTCTCATGCTCTAAGCAGAAGGCTTCCACATCCTCATGTCTTATATCTGTGTTCAGGATATTGACTCATGTCTTTACAGTCCTGTAACTGTCCCTTTTAGTCCCAGTTGTAACCAAACATGAAATTTTATCACTCGGTGATGCCAGAACGTATTAAGTGACGACACTGGCTCCCAGAAATTTGGCCCTGCCCACATTTCCCTTGAAGATTTTCAAAAGCTCTTGAGGTGAGCAGGCCTGCTTTGTGAATGGTGTTCTGCTTATGGTCTAAATATAATCTAACCACAGACCATAGTTTGAGTAATAAAGGGAAATTAAGAAGACGGGGGGTGTGAGGGTTAA